GAATGTGACCACCATTATCCACAAAAAAAACAAATGAAAAACAACAACAACTATTTTGCACCGTTATTGCGTTTAAGCCATTACGCACATTCAATCATTCATTCATTCATTCATTCATTTATTCACCTAACCAACCACCCACACACACACACACACATTGATCATCAAATGGTTATGATGAATGGAAATGAAATCCCCAAATGATCCATTTTTTTTCATAATAATCATCATCATTTATCTTTGTTGTTGATTTTCATTATCAACATTTTCATTTCACATTTTCATTTTCAAACAAAACAAGCGTTAACTCTTCATAAAGAATTTGCATTATTTTCATTTCGTTGGAAAATGATTCTTTTCAAACCCCCACCAAAATAAATGATAATAATCATTATCATCACCTTTGATCATTCGAGCATAACTTTTATTCCGGTTTTTTTGTTGATTTCGCTTGTTGTTGTTGTTGATCTAATGGCCATTTCTGAAACAAAATGACCGATTTTTTTTCTCATTTTGTTTTTGGTTTATAAATAAATCAGGCTATGAAATTCGCAATCAAAACAGAAACCAGAAACCAAAGCAAAACAAACCAAAACATAAATCAGGATCGCCCAGGATGGATCATCATTGTCCTGTCCATAAAATATGGCGGGAAAATTAAATTTTTCAAAAAAAAAAACATTGCATTCATCATATATGAACAGATGATGATGATAGATAGTTACTAATTTCGGTCAAAAAAAAAGTAAAAAACTTTGTTCCTATTCACCACCACCATCATTACCACAAAAAGACATGTGTTGTTCGCCAGAAAAAAAAAGTTATAAAATACCAAGTTACACAAGTTTGGATCACTATCACATTGTCCATGAGGAACTAAGAAAAACTTAAGATTGAAAAAGTGAAACTTTTTGCTTTTTTTGTTTCCACAATGTTTTAGTCGTTGCTGTCGAAATAGGAGGAAGATTCTTCTTCTTCTTTTTTCTTCTGTGTCTTGATGTTGTCATTCATTCATTCATTTATTAATTGTTGTGCATCTTTTTTTTTCGTTCCTGGACCAAAATATAATTTTGTTTTTCTTTTTGATATGATCCATGTGTACATTTCATTC